ATGAAGGTCAAATTTGGGTGAAACACACATAAATACCAAAAAAAGAATTATGGTTACAAAATAATCGATAACGTGGAGTTCCTTAATTTAAATATGAGGTACAGGAGGGCTTAAAAATACATACACAATTTCGACTGATTTGTAGTGGAATTCTCCCCTACAAACGCTGTTTGTCGCCGCCATACACCACGGAGCGGGGGTCAACTGCTAAGCCACGCCTACCCCCGCTATTTAAGACCTGACCTCGTGGTGATCGCTTTTTCTACCTACAGCCGCAGCCAGCAACACCTCCTCCTCTGCCGCTGCCTGGCGGCCCTCGCTCCCGCCGGCGAGCATGGCGACCCACAAGCTGTCCTTCTCTGAGCGTCCTCACCAACCAGCTCTCTCTACATCACGCTTGTAACCATGCTGCCTTCCCAGCACCAAGCTGAATTGTACATCCAATACAACATGTATATAGAGAGCACATTGTGAGTTTCCTTTCTCCATTCCATCCTGAGTGTGAACATCTCATACCCCACAGATTCGTCGATTTTTATTGTGAATTAATTACACGTACAATACAAATACATTATGGATATTGGAGTTGAGCACTTGGAGGCTTTTTAATATAATACATTATACTTAGAAACAAGAGAAACAATATTTATAGTAATTATGCAGAACACCTGACAGCAGCACCCTGTGGGGTTCAGGGTGTTTGGTTCGCACTCAGGATGGGATGGAGAAAGGAAACTCACAATGTGCTCTCTGTATACATGTTGTATTGGATGTACAATTCAGCTTGGTGCTGGGAAGGCAGCATGGTTACAAGCGTGATGTAGAGAGAGCTGGTTGGTGAGGACGCTCAGAGAAGGACAGCTTGTGGGTCGCCATGCTCGCCGGCGGGAGCGAGGGCCACCAGGCAGCGGTGGAGGAGGAGGTGTGGTGTTGCTGGCTGGTTGGTGTAGGTAGAAAGAGGCAGGTCACCACGAGGTCAGGTCTTAAATAGCGGGGGTAGGCGTGGCTTAGTAGTTGACCCCCACTCCGTGATGTATGGCGGCGCTGGTTAACCTCGACCACGAGGCATACACTGGGGAAGTGGTGGGGTCGGCTACTCAGCGACAAACAGCGTTTGTAGGGGAGAAATCCACTACAATACTCCCCCTTCCCTCCAGGCGGTGTAGAAGACTTGTTGTCTGCAGGGTTGCTTAGCACATGTGAGGCAGAACGGGCGGTGCATGCCTCATGTGAGACAACGGCGATGGCGTGGATGAGCCTGTCGCTGGATACAACTGTCTAGATACACACTATCTGTGGGAGAAGAGAGGGAGAAAAAGGGTGTGTGGAGGCGATGAATGTTGTGCTTCCCTCACGGCAGGTACAGAGTCGTCAGATGCGCCTGCTGGGGTGTGTGGGCCTGGGTCAGGAGCAGGGGCTGCGTCAGCAGAAGCGGATGAGGGCTCGTGACAGCAACTGGGTCCACGACAGCAGCAGGGTGCAGGACATTAGCAGGGAGTACCTGAGAGAGAAAAGAGGGGTGTGTGGGTCCACACTCAGGAACAGAGGCCGCATCAGGGGCGGCAGGGGCTACTGCTGGGCCGGGGTCGGCGTCTGAGGCAGGACGGGTGTGCTGGGGTCGGAAGAGGAGCGACTGTCTGCTTAGAGTAGCAGAGCTGCTCTAGGGTGTCTAACCTGCGGTGTAGAGCCGATGAGAGCTGCTTCTGTGTGGATAAGCCAGTCTTCCATGTTGCTTGAAGACTGGGAGCATGATCAGTTTCTCCTCCATCCTGTGTGAGTGCGAATCTCCGGGAGTCACCATTTGTGGGGTTCAAGATGTTTGGTTCACACTCAGGATGGAATGGAGAAAGGAAACTCACAATGTGCTCTCTTTATACATGTTGTATTGGATGTACAATGCAGCTTGGTGCTGGGAAGGCAGCATGGTTACAAGCGTGATGTAGAGAGAGCTGGTTGGTGAGGACGCTCAGAGGAGGACAGCTTGTGGGTCGCCATGCTCGCCAGCGGGAGCGAGGGCCGCCAGGCAGCGGCGGAGGAGGTGGTGGTGTTACTTGCTGCGGCTGTAGCTAGAAAGAAGAGAGAGGTCACCGCGAGGTCAGGTCTTTTAAAGCAGGGTTAGGCATGGCTTAGTAGTTGACCTCCGTGATGTATGGCGGCGCTGGTTGACCCAGACCACGAGGCATACACTGGGGAATTCGTGGGGTCGGCTACTCAGCGACAAACAGCGTTTGTAGGGGAGAATTCCACTACAACATCATACAAATTTTTGGAAAAAATTGAATATTTTTTTTAAAGACACCAGACTAAACGTGACGTAATCGACACAAGTCAGAAACAAGGATTTAGGTGTGGGGGCACAAAGAGTCACTCAACGAAAGAAATGCCATTTGCTGCTGACAATATTCATAGTCTTGGAATGACAATGATATTGCTAGATAATGGCTTGTAAAAGTATTAGGCATATGCTACAGTACTAATTCACACCATCAGACGGAAGATTAATTACCATCACCTTCAATTGAACAACGTCATTATTAAAAACAGACACAGACTGACACACACACACACACACACACACACACACACACACACACACACTCCACATGCACACACGAACACACAGGGAAGTAAAACAGCAGTTTGTGTTGCAAGAAATCAGCGTCTTTAGAAAGAAGTTTTGTTTAGCATCGGTTAGATTAAACGTTTGAAGACAATATTAGTATAAATTAATGATAAACAGGCAACCTCATAAGCAGCCTACACACAGCTGTGCCCGATGCATGATGTTCTTTAACATACTTCCCGAATTTTACTTATGTTTATTCATCTAAATATAAATTCATATAGGTTGGCTCATTGCTCTATCCATTTTAAAATCAAATTAGCAGTATATACTAGCAGAAAAGCATAATATAATGCGAACTAACAAAGCCCAACCATTAATTAAGCAACGGGGAACTAAGTAACCAATCATCGATGACGTTTACATTCATTCATAATTTTTACTACGTAGTATAGTAAACAAACGGCATTCAGTTGCCAGCTGTCTCCAGCAGTGTTCGAAGAATCTTGAACGTGACTGTACACATCAGGGTATGAACTACAGATACAAGTTTATTATATAGTGATCCTCAGAGTTTAAATGTCTAACTAATTGGGTAAAGTTGGTGTGTGTATATGTAAATATATGTATATACCACTTGTAGGCAGGGCCGTCCCTAGGAGGGTGCGGAGCAACTCAGCCACTGCGGGGCCCCAGAAAAAAAATTATATATATATATACAAATATATATATATATATATATATATATATATATATATATATATATATATATATATATATATATATATATATATATATATATATATATATATATATATATATATATATATATAGCACACACCGCACCTCGACCCTACGACGGGGTTAGGGACCCAAATCCAGGTCGTAAGTCCGACATAGATAAAAAAAAAAAAAATTTTTTTTTTTAATAAAAAATCTACAATGAAATACAGTACAGTAAAAGTAATGAATAATGATGAATGGATACAGTACAGTGAAAGTAATAAATAATAAGGAATGGATACAGTGTGACTGAGCACTTAACCTTTAATGTAGTCAGCTGAATGCACATGGGGCCCCCATAATTTTCTAATTATACATGGAGACTACATTAACTGGAAACGTTTCGGTATAGAAAATGCGTGTGTCATTTAAAAAAAAAATAATAATTTTTTTTATCTATATCTGAGGCGGTCGTAAGTCCCGACGGTCGTAAGTCCACGTAGTCGTAAGTCGGGGTCTAGGTGTGTGTATATATATATATATATCTTGATAAAATCACACGGGAAAATGGGAACAACGGAGCACCTTAGCTTTCATCTTTATTCAACTACTAAGCCACGCATTAAACTAGTCACTTTACCTTCAATTATGTTCAATAATTGTTAAAATGACTAAAAAATTGAATATTAAACTTTTAAAATTATTGAATAGTATAAACTTCTTGATATTTACTAAAATAGTAAGGAATTTAAGCCCTAGAACCGATTAATGTATTGGCGGACTGATAATAAAGCTGGTTGCCCGGTCAGTGCAAGCGAAAACATGTTGAGGTCGGTTCGTAAGAACTTCGTTAACCGAATTTTTTTTCGTTAACCGAATTGAAGATCCTTATGGAAGGCAGTTCGTTAATCGAAATTACGTTTTTAGTTGTGAAGGAATGTGTGAGAAATTTTTGTGAAATGGTAATATTAAGATATTCTTATGGTCATGGGTGGGCTTGGGATCAGTTCTATAAAAAGTTTTCTTAGTAATGTTTAGGCATTTGTCTATGAAAGATCTAGGGTATTTAAGGTTTGAGCCAATATTGTAGATATATTTGTATTCCTCATCAATGAATTCCGGACTGCAAATTCTCAAAGCACGTAAAAACATTGTTGAAAATACTGACTGTTTGACTCTATTATGGTGGGCAGAATAATAATGAATGTATGAACACACATTAGTTGGTTTTCTATAAATACTGAACTCAAAAGTGTTACCTATTCTATGTATCAGACAGTCTAGGAATGACAATTTACAGTCTTGCTCTAATTCCAGAGTGAATTTGATCGAGGGGGCTAAGTTGTTAAGTTGTGGCAGGAAAGCTTTTAGGTCCTCATTACATGGCCAGAGACATAATACATCATCAACATATCTAAACCCGTCTCGAAAGACGACTTCATCGAACACATCAAACTATGTATTAAGGATTGTAAATTTGAATTCAATGGAGAACATTATGCTCAAAAATTTGGTATGGCAATGGGTAATCCACTCTCACCTGTATTAAGCAACCTATATATGGAATTCTTTGAAAAGAAACTATTAAGTACATATTGGGTACACACACACACACACACATGCAGACTGTTGTGCAGGCTCATTTCATCACACACACTCACTCACATATATGCACACAAACATATACAGAAGCATTTCTAATGTGCTTACACACACACACACACACACACACACACACACACATACATACATCCTGGGTTACCCACATCTTCATCACCTCCAGATAAATGAGAACCACAAACACTCCTCAGTGTCCTGGGTACTCAGTCTGTGGCAGGGACACCTGGAAACACATCTACCTTTGAGAAGACACAGGCAGGCCGAGAGATAATTTGTGGGTGGCAGCCGCCTCCCTACATACCAGCTGATCAAGATTCAAAGTATGGGCGGGAAAATTATTAACACGTACGGTGCTGTGATCACACTGGTGTTGCTTAACGCAAAGGATGAGGGTGCGGGAATCACACCAATAAGGATAACCGGGATATGCGAGTGTTGTCTACACCAAATATCCAACAGAAATCTTTGGTAATTAGAGGAAGTAAGTCAACACCGAACTATAGGTATAAGAGAAATTATAGAAACACAGTACAGTATATTAAATTATAAACATTTTGTGCACAAAATTGATTGATATTTAACTAATTACTTAACTGTGACAATGAAGACTTGCCAGACTTTAGCAGTGTGTAACAAATATAAAAATTTTAGCAAGAAATACCTAGTCAGAGCTGCTCACTCCTTCATAGGACGGAAAACTCAGAGATCCTCCGCTCTTAGACGCTGCTGAAGACTGCTGAGAAATACTGTCGTCAGTAGAGAGATTACAGACACCTTTACTGTAAACACTGGAACCACCAGACTCATCTTCCTCCCCAGCTTCAGACTGACCACTAGTTGGGTTAACACTTGACTCGCCTGAGTACCGATGCTCCACATATTTATTCGGAAATGATGAATTTGAAGTTTCTAGAGATGAACCAACGCACGTTTCCTTATTTTCCAACTGTGCCGTTACTAGGGTACGTTGTCTCCTTGCATTAGTTGTGGCCAGTGGCTTATGTACTTTTTCATTTCCCTGTCTTACACTGAATGAGTTTTTGTCACTACTGTTTTCCCTAATGATGTTCTCTGCTTGTACATTCATCTGAGGTGGGGAAGGATGTTTTCTCAGCATCTTCTCCATAACTTGATGCATATCTTGAGTGCCAATGGCAGTGACTTCATGTGGCTTGATGAAACCTCTTTGAACCATAGAAGCCCAGAATTCTTCCTTTTGGTACTTCACTTGGCTTTCAATACTTTCAGCAGTAGACCAATGACTTTCCAGCTGTCTCAAAGTTCCTTGTTTTTGGAACCTTTGCATAGATTCATCTTCATCCATAGTTACTAGATAATCATTAGTGTAGGGTTTAATGGGTAACTGAAGACCAGAGACACTGTTATCCTGTTTCTGAGGAATAATTGTGTTTTTGCTCCAAGTTAGTCCTCTGGATGATCCTCGGGGTACATCAGGTACCACGGTGCATGGCTTATTGCCTTCCAAAGTTGACATGACATATTTTGCTTTCTGTATAGCTGTCCCAAGGCTGATATCTGGCAAGTGGTGCTGTGACTCCATCCGTTGTGATATTTCTGAGACTACCTCTTCTGCCTTCTTGTGCTTATCTTCAATCTTGCAAAGTCTGTAATTAAATGAGGAAATTTAGACAAAATTTAATCTTTATATGACCAACAAACTTAGAACCCTTTATGGGCAAGGGGAAGAGAGAAGTGAGATGTTCACAAGTGTTCTCTGGTTACTGAACAGAAACCAATGATGAGCTGGATATAAAAACAAACAGACACTCAGACATATGGGCAACACTGTCCCCGCAGAAAATGGACACCATATATGATTTAAACTTAAAGTGAACTAGTTAAGGCACACTGTCAAGATACTGTCCAAAAATGACAAAACACTATAAAACAACAGGGCACTGCATCACAAACTCCTACACCAGACTCTCCCTAAATTAGAATCAAATTCATTGAGATGTTGTACTGTATGCATAAGACTTGAAAATAAAGTAAATCTGAGAAATATTAGAAACTGGCTGTAGACTGATAGTGGATCCAAAGTACATTCACATAGTAGACTGAACATTATCATCTGGGTGTGAGACGTGTCTGCTAGGGTTGTCTGAGAGCCTTCCAGTGGTAGTTTCCCTTTCTCTCTCCTGAAGATGTCTTGTTTTCCAAAACCTGTGCTTCTAACAGTCAATTTTACATTTTTAACAAGATTCTCGATCAGAACAGCACACATTTACCTCTCCATCAGGTAGTGGATCTGGTGAGACACTCCAGCATCAAACTTGGGTTCCTGTTCTCCTTGACTTTTTTCCTCCACAGCAGTAGTTCTGTGCTTATTTGTCTCCTCCTGAGGACCACACAGGAAGGTTAGGGCAGGTTTCATTAGCTTTAGTAATGCAATGAACAGGATTTTCCGAGAAAATATATTTCATAGAATGAGATCTTGCTGAATACTACCACATAAACCTTTGTTTCTTGTTTAAACAAGACTCGTAGTCGGTTGACAACTGCCTCTGCAGTGTCTTCAACCAGTTGATGAGAAGATATCATCTTGTACCGAGTATCTGGCTGGGGAGGCCAAGAACTTTCTTCTACTGGAGAGGAACTCTGGCCTGGAGATACATCTCCCTCTGGTGACTGCTTCCTCCTTGATGGCGTCATCTTCCCTTGTGACCAAAATATAAAATGGTTATGTATAGTGACCAAAGTGTTCAAGAGATATTCTTCAAACATTACCTTACCCAAACTATAAGTGCAATACATAATGTAAATAATTGCACTTCAAGCCATTTTTCTTAATGAATGACTGTATTATAGTTCTCACCAGTATTTTAATTTATCTATAAAATGATCTGAACATCAATAGAGACCTTCCTCTCCATGCAGACTACAAACCTATGCAATATTATTTTCATCAGTAAATGGAAACTATTCACAATTTAGACAAAATTATATTAGACAGACACCACCATATCATCAGACTGTCAGCTTTTTGTATAAATTAATATTTAAATAACTTTACTTCATGCCTTTTAAAAGACTCATGCAGCAGCCTGACATCCACCAACCTTTAGAGATGAATGCCTCGGGTGACAGCCTCCCGATGGGGCGATCACTACACCCCGACGAGTGTCCCTTATCAGACGGTGGCTCTGACCGTTTCTTCGGTACAATATCTCTTGTTTTATGATCCTTCCTGAGAGTCTTCACCCATGAGACCTCAAGAGAAGAAGTAAACAAGGGTTACTGGTAATGTCATGGCTACCATATGAAACTGAACATAATAAAAAGACATAAATGACCTCCTAGATAATATTTTGTAAGTTAATATAGCAAAGATGGTTAGGTGGTGATGCTTAGCTGGTGGTGTACATTATAGGGAGCTTAGGTGGGAAGACTATCTACGGGGAGCTACACTAGGGGGCTCAGGTGGTAACTCTACAGGATACTCACAGCTGGTCACTATACGTGTCATCAACCACCTTCAGGTACTGTGGCTCAGAAATCTTAACACAGCTTTATTTTGTGAGGCTGAATCATTACACTATGCCACTAATATTAATCTATATGTAATCAGCCATTCTTTATATATATATATATATATATATATATATATATATATATATATATATATATATATATATATATATATATATATATATATATATATATATATATATATATATATATATATATATATATATATAAGTTCAACAAGGGGAAATATCATTTAAAAGTATCAGATAGATATGACTGTTGCTGATATTTGCACTACAGTAGTTATCATATGGTCGAGTGAGACTCATGTAAGCATATGACGACTTTGGCTGGTACTGTAGAATGACAAACTACACGTACGTGCTTATTATAACAACTACTATTGTCTATTCTGTCCAATGGTGTGATAAAACTGGTATTTATATTGTATACGTAATTGCCTCACTTACCTTAGGACCTGACGATGAAGCAGTAACTGAGGGTCGTGCAATATTACCAGTAGTTCTGGTTGGGGACGCTGGAGGTACAGGTATCCTCCTCTGTGACGGAGAGACACCGGGTTTGTTGTTTTTCAGCAGGTGTAAAATGGTGTGTCTCTTGGTTTCTTCTTTTCCATTTAACAGTAAATTTCTTGAGGCTCCATTTTGCTGTGGATAAATTGGCATTCAACATTATTTAACATCAATGTCAAAAGCTCAGGTAACAGTTCCCTAAAATGTGTGTATCTGGACATACAGTATAAGACTAGAACACCCCTCCCTCCCCCACCTGCTTCAGTTTAACCTCTTGTGTACAGGCTCCCCTCTGACCTGAATAAAATCGTCTGGCATTATCCAAACAAAATATTGAAAGTGGCATCCCTGTACTGAAGGGGTTAAAGTTTCCTGGGTTATGATTTTATGGTTATTATGCATTAAGTGTTGAGTGATAAAATATCCTACAGTACAAATATTATAATGTTCCTCTTTACCTTCTTTTTCCTTTTCTTCTGTAGTCTGTGGTGTGCCAGTGTAGCTATCGTGTCTCTCACATAACTTGGGTGTAAGATGGACAGGGCATCACAGTCAATGTCTGATGTTGCCAACTCTGATGACTCAGTGCTGCTGTCTTCTCTTGTATTCTCAACACTTCGTTTGGTCATCTAAAAAAAAATCAATACAAATAATAAAAAAAATCAATAATGAGACAATTTACAAACCAATAACACACATAAGACAACAGTAAACATCCCTAACACTACCTGCCAGGCATAGGATGAAGTGAGGAATGTACAATACAGGTTTTAGGTTAAGCTGTGATATGTACAGTATAAAAATTCCACAGATGGTGATGGAAGAGGAGTTTGATTTGTGGCATAAAAAGATTAAGTTTGTTAGACCTAGACTGTGGAGGAGGTTGAGGGATCGTCACTGATGATTGGGTTAAATCCCCCAATAATATAATTTCTCCGATAATGAAGCTTCCAAGGCACTTACTCATATGTTTGTATAACCTCTGCTTCATTTCCTCCCTTTTCTCACCTGGTCCAACTCCTCATTTCATCACACAATAACAACACCAAACCTTCTTTTACTCTTATCTATTAAGATATTTTTGCCTCAGCTTCCCTCACTTGTCACCAGCTCACCTCTGCTTAGCACTTTAACTTTATTTGGCACACAACTTCCAAGTTCCTCTCACTTATCATAATGTGACTGTGTTTTCTTATCATCTTTATCACACTCTGAACATTAAAACACTCCATTGTAGTCTCCTGCTCTTTCTTCTTTGGGTAACTGAATAAAAAAGATCAGGCTATCAGTCCCATGTCCCTGTGCAGGTGACCTTTTTCCTTTGACTATATACATACAGTATATTTAACACACATTTAACAACAATTTTGTCAAGCTAAATTTCCATCAACCTCTCCCTCTCCCAGTTACCACCAGCTGCCATGATACATTGCACTATTATCATTAACCACTAAAGTCTGCCTATGTAAGACTCTGACAATATCAAACAAAGTAAGGAATCAGTGAGACTTGATGCTGACCTGTATACTCAGTTTGGGAGGTTTGACACCCACAGTGGCTGCAAGTGAGAAGAGCCTCTGTGTTATGGCGACCAGTTCAACAAATAGTTTCTTCCCAGGTGCTGACTCAAAGACATTTTCTGCATGTGTTTTGAGTGCCTGAAAAAAAATTATTTATTTTGAGTTTTCATTAATTTTATTACTTTCTTAAACATTAATTATGAATGTCCATCAATTATTCAAAAAGTTCAGTTTTAAAGAACGTGTAATTGATCCTCAAATCCTTCACCAGAACAACCTTTTAATACAGTACCTATGCTAATACAGTATGCCCATGACAGGCTTGGGGCTCAGGTACCCAGGAAACACCTAAACGTGCTGGCTGGGTTCTTCCAAACAACACCTCACTTAAGACTCAGACATCCAGAACTATACTGTACAGTAGAAGAGTTCATCCATTCATAAACGGCCAAGGTAACCTGATGACCCACACCTGAACACATTTTACCTGTGTGTGGCAAACTAATTGGTGGCCGACATCTACTGTCAATCTGTGACAACATAATATACACAACAGCATAAAAATATATTATATATACACATGTCATAAATATATGTACACATGTGTACATATGTACACATGTGTACATATGTACTGTACTCTTTGATACAGGCACACCCTTAACTCTTCAGCTGAATAAAATCATCTGGCATTAGCCACAATAAAATACCTATGGAATACTTTACCCTTGAAACGGTTAACCACATATACAGCTCCTCCTCGGCTTATGACCTACTCGACTTACGACCACCCGGACATACAACCGCCCCAGTCGTACCAAGATTTTTTTCAAATTACAGTACGTATTTTCGAGTCCCGACATTAGTGATTGCGCTGTGTAATAAAAAATTTTTCGTTTGTAATTCCCTTTAAAATGGCTGGCATGCTTAAAAGTGAGAGTTTTGTGGTGCTGAGAAGAAAAAGAGACACCCATTTTAGATTTTCTATGTATTATCTTTGCATTTTCGACTTACAACCAATTCGACTTACGACCTGGATTTGGGTCCCTAACCCCGTCGTAAGTCGAGGAGTGGCTGTACTCCCATACACACTATACTTATATGACACACTTTAATGCTTTGTCACATACTATGTACACACTACATTCAATCATGTATGGACAATATAAAAATTCATGAGAGCAGAGCCATCATAACAAAAGCGTAACTTGACCATCACAGGCAAAAAACAGGAATTTAAAAATATATAAAATATAAAAGTAAAATATAAAATATCATGAACCTTACCAAGAGAAGTCGGTGAATTGTACGTGTTGACACTGCCAAAATTCTCAGATATCTGCTGCCCTGTTTCTCTTCTTGATATGACTTTCTCTCTAACACAGACACCTAGTGGGGAATACAGACACATAACCACATAGATCATGTTATTGCACAGAGAAGCTTATAAGTCAATATCTAGCCAGAAGCTACACACTTTGGGTGCCATATAATGCACATATAATCTGCCTCTGAACTGAAGATAAGGCTTATCATTTTTCATTGTCAAAGTGTAATAACATGGCATCAGTTTATATCCAGCTAAGTCCCCTGCAGCTGGAGCAGTGAGCCAGTGATTAACCTCCTCCTTCACAAGTAAATCTACCTCTTAAACACAGCAAATAAAGAAAATACAATATAGTTGTGGGAGCTAATGAGACACATGTCACTCAGCTCATGACCAATCCATTTAACTCAGGTTCAGCCACACCTGGGATCACTTGACCAACTTAGTTATAGCTGACACACACTGTACTGTACAGGTATCTGAGTATTTTAAGACAACAAGAAAACTTCTCACCTCTCGTTTCAGAGAAAAAAGTGTACGTCCAGCAGAATGGAGAAATTCCTCCCATCGTTTCCTCTTGATCTCATTATCATATGGGGATACAAAGTCTCTCTTGGAACTTGTTTGTATTTGGATATATTCCAGTTCTTTCACACTATGGGAGATCTGGACCACCAGTCTTGTGACTTGACGAATACGAAGATTCACTTCTCCAATTCCTCTGTGGACTGGTACAGCTGCTCCTCCCTTAACTTTCTTGGAAGCTTCTCTCTGTTCAGTGGGTTTGCTATTCACATTTTTTATTAATGTCTTGGATGCACCAGTACTCTCATCACACTGTTGTGGCACTACAGCGTCACCGTTTGTCAAACTAGTGGTTACACCGGGTCCAGGGGCCTGTGGCTGATGTCCACCCGAGGCAGGAGCTGGAGGTGCATCCTGCGCCAGCCTGGCTTCAAGGAGAGCATGTCTTGCCTGTAGCTGTGCTTCCTCAATCTCTTTGGGTTTCAAATACTGAAAAAACAAAAACCATTCTGATATAGATTCTATACCTGAGGTCTCACTGTCCACCTGGCAGCTAATTGTGTTGTTGCTCTTGTCTTATCTTTAAGGAGTTCTTCTCACAAGACAAGCCCGGTGCCACTTGAAATCCTGACCCTTTTCAACACCGGTAGTAAGTCAAAGCCTTATTTCTAGACCTTACCTCTGTGTTTCCTGTTTCTGTCATTGTGTTATGTCAGCAGACTGTATGACTATCAGTATAACTCATAAGAAAAAAGAAATTAAAGTCTAAAACCTCAAACTAAACTAAGAGGTATCATACCCAGAGCTTACGGACAGCAGCAGTAATGGGCTGGCAGTGTTACACAAAAGATCATATTAAAAGACAAAAAAATCCTTGACTAGAATGAGATAATGAATACAAAAACAGTACCTAAAGGGCAAACTATAGAAAGAGGCAGTGGCATACGCAGAAAATTGCCACGGAAGGGGGGGTGGCAGCAAACAATGAGCAAAACATACTGAAGTACTGCTGAAATACAAGATAAAGTAAACTAACAAGTGCTTGGGGTTAAAAAGTTCCTTGTACAGTATTTCTCCATCAGCATATTGTAGTACTTCTGGTCTAGCTTACAGATGAGACTAGTATTGGCAGCCTCAATATACTGTATCTCAAAATTCAATTAGTAATAAATCTTAAGAATACTGTACATTGAAATCTACCTAACAAGTAATTTTTCATCACTACATCATGAGGACCAGTTTCATATTCTGGCCACATTTCTGAATATAATAAACACATACATATTTGAATGAACAACAACTTTACAATGCTTCTCAACACCAAGCTACTGACATAGTGAGGTGATCCCATTACAACTTAACAACTTGTCCCAAATATTGTAGTTATATGTTCATTCATTACACATACAAATATATGAGGAGTAAATATGAATAATTATTAATGGAGAAACAGGTTGGTTACTTTATATGAGACAGCAGCGGGCGTGTGTGAGGCCGGTGGTGGGTGAGGGGTCTTGGGCACGAGGCGATGGAGTGTGATGGCAGTAGGGAGTCTGACCCTGTGATCGAGGTGTTGAGGGGACAGCTGCTGCCAGAACCATTGTTGGTGTTTAGTCGTTGTGTCTGTGCCAACCTGCTCCATCATCTGTTAGTGACACACATTAATTAATACAGTACAATAGTTGGGAAGATATAGATTTTAATCACAATTCTAGACAAAGCTGGTACTGTATATTTGGAAATATAGAAAACTAACTGAACAATACAGTCAAGTATAGTACAGTACAGTACACACATCCATATGAATGTTGCTTAATGGACAAAGCAGTCATGAAGCCACTCCAGGAAAAACACTGCAGTTACCCATGTCTTCTCGCTTGAGCATCAACACACAGACAAGCAAAGTATATTTTTGTAAGTACCGCTCCTCCCCGACTTACGACCTACTCGACTTATGACCACCCACACTTACGACCTGCCTCAGTCGTACCAAAATTTGGTCAAATTACGTATTTTCGAGTCCCAAAGTCAGTACACAGACAAAATTTTCATCTGTAATTCACTTTAAAATGGCTGGCAAACTTAGAGTGTTTTGTGGTGCTGAGAAGAAAAAGAGACCCCCATTTTAGATTTTCTATGTGTTATTTAAGCATTTCCGACTTATGACCATTCCGACTTACGACCTGGATGTCAGTCACTAACCCCGTCGTAAGTCGGGGAGTAGCTGTACTGTACAATACTCGTATGACCAGAAGAACCTAACCTAATGACTCGTATATTTCAGGACAAATGTCTTTTCTAACCTAACATAACATTAATTTGCATAAGAAATACTTTAGAAAAAAATCAATTCAGAATTAAATACTGCATAAGGACCTATTGTCATCCTGAGGTCAAGGTCATGTGCTAATTGGAATAATATCCCAAACCTGAACAGAAACACTTCTCCCCAGTGACAGATGATTCACTGTAGATAAACCAACCTAACCTACCTAACATACCTCTCCTAGGATGGTAGTAAAGTATTAGGGTATTATTTTGTTAGGTTACCTCACTGTCAACAGGGGCACCAACACATTCAAACAGTTTATTTCGCCAGAAAAATAGATACAGAGTGAAATGGCTGACCTAAGTGAAAACCCGAGACCCTCTTAGTGACACCTGATATATACTGTACATTTATCTCTATGGCTGGTTGGACCATATTTACTCCCAATAAGAACTGGGGAGAACCAGAAATATTAAAATTACCAAATACTACAACTATTTCACGACCAAGTACCGTCTTTATTATCTGGGGATTGGTTACCACAGTCCTCCACCCTAAACATTCTTGGGCTGTTTTTACCGATACAATATTTTTAAATAATTCTAACTTAGTACAGTACTGACTCAATGTCTCTCTCTACACACTCAACCTACGTGAAAGTTTGTAAATATATAACTATCTACAGTATATGAATAATTAAAAGGAACTCATTAGTACCTGTTAGTCTACCTCACCATCACCTTTACTTCACCTTATCTCACATAGTCTATATCACAACACATTTTAAATATATAATAAAATACATTTACACCTATTTGGTAATTTTATGGTGTATTAATGTATAAAATGTTGATATAGTTAAGATATAAAGGATAAAGGAATGTATTAATCCGGGTGTTGATGACCGGCCGCTGGACCACAACACTGGCCAGGTCACAACGTGTATGGTAACTATAGTCCTCTCTCTGTCTCACCTTATTTAAGATCAGTTTACAGCCAAGTGATCAGTTAATAAGATGATTGTATTGGTAATTAAGAGAGATATAGAGTTAAGGCTGCCGAGGCTCTTCACTCTTAAACTTGGTTATGGTGTAGTTTAAATTGACATTCAGCGAGGGTGGGGGGACCAGACTAAGAACATAAGAATGGAGGAAACTGCAGCAGGCCTATTGACCCATACTGGGCAGTCCCGTTTACACCCAACCCCTATTGCTCATATAAGCATCCAACCTATGTTTGAAGTTATCCAGCGTATTCGAGTTAATGATGATATTTGGTAACTTGTTCCACTCGTCCACTACTCTGTTTCCAAACCAGTGTTTACCAATTTCGCGCCTAAATCTAAATTTGTCTAATTTAAAACCATTGTTACCAGTTCGCTCCTGGTTAGATAGTTGGATAAAATCATGGCTCACCGATAGAACGCAGAGGGTCAGCGTTGATGGTGTTAAATCTGAGTGGGGTCGTGTAACCAGTGGGGTTCCCCAGGGGTCAGTACTAGGCCCACTCTTGTTCATAATCTCCATAAACGATCTAGATACTGGGATCAGCAGTGACATAAGCAAGTTTGCGGATGACACCAAAATAGGGCGGCAGATTATTTCAGGGCAGGATGCAAATTCATTACAGGAGGATCTAAATAAACTACAGGGGTGGTCTGAAAAATGGCAAATGAAATTCAACACCAGCAAGTGCAGCGTACTCTCGAGGGACTGCAAATTAAGATACTTTAACCTGTCTCTGTATTCAAGGTTCCTAATGCCCGGGATTAGTCTTGTCATTCTCCTCTGGATTCTTTCCAAGGATTCTATATCCATTCTGTAATACGGTGACCAGAACTGCACTGCGCAATCCAGGTGAGGTCTCACAAGCGCAAGATATTATCTTAAGATGACCTCACTAGTTAGGGTTGTCAACAACTGGAATGGGTTACCTGAGTGGGTAGTGAATGTGAAGACGGTGGAAAAGTTTAAAGCAAAATTAGATAAATACTGGAAAAATCAACAACAAGTATATAATTATAGGGCACAAATATCCACCACACACAGCCACCGTCTGAGTAGAGAAGAGGCTATTGAGCTGGAGTCACAGGCGTGAGCCTCTTCCAGAAGATCATCTGTGAGTATGTGAGTATCTTGTAACTAACACTCCTTTGTATGAACCCAAGTACTTTATTAGCCTTGTTACGAGCAAGAACACATTGTATACTTGGCTTAAGATTCCTACTTATCATTACTCCAAAATCTCTCTCGCAGTCTGATTTCTTAGTGGCATCGTTGTTCATTTGGTAAGTGGTTCCCTGTTTACGTCTCCTAAACTGAGTACTTTACATTTGTCCACATTGAATTTCATCTGCCATTTAAATAATAATGTTTAGGTGAATTTGAAGTTATAAGTAGGTTAGGTTAGGATAGGAAGGTTAGTTCACTTCATATTATGCAAGATAATTTTAGTACAGTATATATTTGATACTTTGGAAAGTTCCCAGCCTCACTGAGTGTCAATAACAGCATGTGATTTTACGGCTGTTAATCGAAAAATTATCCAATTCTATTTTCCTGAACACCATTCTATGAACACTGTGCAGTAATGTATTCATGAATTTATAAATCTTGTTGATAAATATTGAGTATATATACTGCATTAATAATTACACGTGACCAAATAAAGTAATTTTCTGTTGACAGTGTTATTGCAATATATACTGTACGTATATGTAAATCCTGTGTGAACTGAAGTAGAAGACGAAGAAGAAAACAAACACAAAGAGCATCAGCAGCTCCACACCTAAGCCAGCAAGATGAAAACTGACGAGAACGACGTGATGGAGGACGAGGAGATGGGAGAGAGTGAGGCAAGGACTGAGGAGAGTACGGAGGACAACCAGGGACTAGAGTGTGACTTCTCTGCCTACACACTGTTCCATGAGGGCAGTACAGGTTAGTTCACTCAGGTGCTACAGACAGGAGGAGTCAGAGGTAATACTTGACCTCAGTAGTACTGGAAGGTCACTTGATCAAACTTAGTCTCATCAAACTTCATAAAAATACATTTATTAGCTTTATGACCAAGAAAATATTTGGAATTACCACAGTATCAGTGAAGTGAGTTATTGATATACTTTATAAATATACAGAAGAATGATCAGCTGTTTTATATTTTGTATATTAAATAATCACTCTCTTGCAGGTGCCCCATGCCTGAGTTTTGACATTCTACGGGATAATCTTGGCGACAACCGCAACTGTAACACTCCTGTATCGTGTTACTTTGTGGCGGGGACGGAGGCAGCCCGCACTCACGTCAACAATATTATTCTTATGAAGGTGAGATATAATTACCAGGCATCACCCAACAGATTGCAGGACTGTATACTAGCAATATTTACTCTCACATTTTGCATGACTCACTGTGTGGCTAAAGTAAGTTAAAAAAGGTTTGTATGACCATTAAATAGACTATCATCAGTGATTTATCTCATCTAAATTTTTGGAGTTTCATAATTTTGTTTGTAAAAGTATAAACATGTAAATTTCTATGCACTGTACTATAAGTGGTCATGGAAGGTAGTTTAATTTATAACAGTTCATAGTGTATTTACTCATAAGCATAAACCTTATGTTGACAAGATGTAGTGTATAATATCTAGATAATATGTTGAATTGTTTAGGTTCTCATAAAATGTCACTGTTGATAAGTTAAGGTAGATATCCACTCGCCCTTCACCACTTGTTACACACCAGCTATATGTACAGATCAGTCACAGCATGAAAATATACTTAGTTAGACTCTCTTCAGTGTGACTTTAAATGTACCCAGGAAATATACCAAATGAAATTGATATATTTGAACAGAATTAAGTAAAAGAAATATTTATAATTATCTGGAGACATTTGAAAGACTTATCAATCCACATGATATACGGTATTATTTCTGGCCCTGCTTAATGCCACCAGTGTTTCTTATGGTTCAGCGAGAGTCGAATGTTAAGAATCCAGGTAGGCAATAGTCACCTCTGGCAATTTACCATTTCTCTTAACATGAGGATCAAAGAGATACAGTGAGCTAATCCATCTTATGTCTGTGTAAACGAGATGTTAGACCAGAAGAGAATAAGTCACTGTGTGTGTGTGTGTGTGTTCAATAGCTGATAATTGCTGACTCCTTAGTTTAGTACAGTAAGAATTTGTTATAATATATTGTTTAATGTTCACAGATGAGTAATTTGGTAAAGATAAAGCATAATGACAGTGACGACGACAGTGAGCTGGAAGATGACGAGGATGAGGGAACGAGGGACGAACCTGTCATAGCCTCGGCGATTATCGGACACGGTGGTTGTGTAAACAGAATAAGGGTTAGTAGTTTGCTGGTGGAGTAGAGGGCAGACATTTTTTTAGTGGAGTGGAGGGTAGACATTTTTTAGTGGAGTGGAGGGTAGACATTTTTTTAGTGGACTGGAGGGTAGACATATTTTAGTGGAGTAGAGGGTAGACATTTTTTAGTGGAGTGGAGGGTAGACATATTTTTAGTGGAGTAGAGGTGATATTTACATTACTTTGTGTATTAGTTCATTTTTATGTGAATCCTTTTGGCTGCAGGCTTGTGTAAAAAGTAGAATTGGCTTGCTGTTGTAAAAATAAGTAGGAAAAATAGAATCAATAGTGGCTTGTGAAAAGGATGAAATTTCACACCTCTTGTTGCAGGAATGTAGACAGACATATCTGTATGCAATGAATAGCCTTGAAAAAGAAATATGTACAGTACATCTTCTTAAAAATACAGTACTGTATTGACTATCTTTATTATATTATACACTAGTAGATGTATCTTTGGGGATGTACGGTGACTATATTAAGGTGAAAGTTTGTGCATTATTATTGACTTGATCTCTCTTCTTCTCAGAGTACAATAGTCAATAATGTCCCTCTGGCAGCTTCCTGGTCTGAGCTAGGTAATGTTCACATCTGGGACCTGAGTCGTATGGTGGATGCCGTAAATGACCGCCAGGCTAACATAGCCTTTAAGCAGAATTCAGCATATGAAAGTCCATTATTCACTTTCAAAGGGCATCCCTCGGAAGGCTTTGCTGTTGATTGGGCCCCATCCATGCCTGGTAAGTCTTCAAACATTCTTAGTAATTTGTTTTGATACGTTCTCTTGATGAATTGAACATCTCATGAACTGTTTCCTACAGGAACACTTGCTACTGGGGACTGTGAGAAAAATATCCATGTGTGGAAACCTAGTGGAGGCGGTTCATGGGCAGTGGGGACAACACCTTTTGTTGCACACACAGCATCTGTTGAAGACATCCAGTGGTCACCTAATGAACCACATGTGTTTGCTTCCTGCTCAGTCGACAAGAGGTAACGTATACACACAAGATGTAGAAGTGAAGGATGTGTTGGGCAAAAGGCCAACCATGGTTTGTTTCGATAGGATGGGCATAATAAGAGAATGGAGAATCAAAGGTTAATAAACTGTGTTGAATTTGGAAGTGGATGGTCAGAGAGGGAGGGGAAAGATAGAGGTGATAAAGGGATTGGTTGAGGGAGGAACTAGAGTCTAGATGGGAGGATGATACACATGTAAGAGTCAGTTGCGTTCTTGAATGTTCAGAAAATACGGCATCAAGTGTATTTTGGGGTAGGTGATGCTGAATTGTGTGAAGCAACAGGGGTAAACTGGGTGGACATGTCAGTGTTGTGTTACAGAGGGAAACATCAAAGCAAAGCACACCTGTTAAAGCAGATAGATAGAATGAATGGCAGCAAGTGATGGTAAAATCTGTGCTTCTGCTGATCGTAGTCATCCTGCAAGTTTGTAAGAGTGAAGAGAATAAATATAGGCAACAAAGAAGGCTACTCCAGAAACATTTACACCTTCACTGTGATATTGTTGATATACAAAGAAAGAGTTTTTCCTCCTAATCCTCAAATTTCTCTTCTTACTGCCACCAGTATCAGAGTCTGGGACACCAGAGCAAAGCAAGACAAGGCATGCATGCTGACCGTCCCCGATGCTCATGAGTCTGATGTTAATGTGATACATTGGAACCGCAATGAACCTTTCATAGTCTCTGGTGGTGATGATGGCAAAGTACAAGTTTGGGATCTGAGACAGTTACAAGTAAGTACAATTTTGATCTTAGTGTGTGGTGTTGTACTGCACAGTATTCTGAAGGTCATACAACTTGCAAAGATTTTTGTACAGTACTGTGTCTTGCTGTCTGACCTAACCTGAATAAAATTTAATTTGGGTATTATTTTCAACATTTTACTAATATAATGCAATACTGAATAACATCCATATAGGACACAATGTTTTATTAAATTGGTAATTTAGATCTTTTCCCAAAAGATGGAGGATTTACTGTACCTGTATTATGAAATATCATTGTGTGGCCGAGTCCAAACTTGCCAACTCACCTTTCCTGTAATCTCCTAAGGAGGGAGGGTAGAGGCAAAGGTTATATCTCTAGTAAACTAGGAGGAGGAAGCCCCACAAACACACAATGTAACATAGGCTAGCACAGCTATTGTCTTTCTTCATGGGTCTGTCATGATAGTTTTCAAACATCAGCCCAGCTCACTCCTAGCAAACTTTCACACTAACCCATGAAAGGTGGTGGCTAGCCAAGCTGCTTGGAATAATAGGCTCCACCAGTAAATGGTATTTTGCAATTGGTCGTATGATGTCCATCTTCCTGTATATCTCTATAAGAATTAAAGAACTTTTGAAGTGACTAGTTAAACCTATTTACTATGTTTTTAATTACACAGAATGGTAATGCTGTTGCTGTCCTGAAGCACCATGAATCATCCATAACAACAGTTGAGTGGCATCCAACTGATGCATCTGTCCTGGCTAGTGGTGGTGAAGATAATCAGATCCTCCAGTGGGACTTGGCAGTAGAACGAGACACAGATGTTCAGGACGATGATGAGGCGGTAAGTTTCTTTCCCTTCATATAAGTTATTCGAGGTAATTCATGGCTTTACATTGTTCCAGGAGACTTGTGGTTTTATTCTTCAGTCTGTGGGTAGCAACCAAAGCTAACCCACGAGATGGAAATAATCTGCACAATTAATACCACACTCTAATTGTAGCCCCAGCTCTTGAAAGGGGTTGGGGGGGTGTTATCAAGTCTTGAGAATTTTGCCATCTTACGAGATGTTGATTCATTCACCTGTTGATGTGTTACAAAGTGCTCAAACCTGATCAACTATTGTTTGTCAAATCTCTTGATAGTGTGAAATATATTTTGTTACAATGAATGGAGATGAAGACTGATGCCAGGATGGAAGGAGCTTGTTGGTGAAGAACATATTACAATGGCATAATATGCATACCGTAAATGTACAGAGGCACTCGTGTGTACAGGATACTGAGCAAAAGTGGAGGTGAATAATTCCTATTTAAACAAAAACATGGTAGTATTTTAGGCAGTTTACATGATACCATTACTGTACCTGTAAGCATTCAAGTGTCTTCTATCAGCAGATGTACAATATAGTGTATTATGTACAAGTTAAAGTTTGATGTAATGATTCAAAGACTACAGAGTAAGTGTTCCAACAGGATGTGCCACAGCATCTGCTCTTTGTTCACAAGGGCCAAGATGAAGTTAAGGAGCTACACTGGCATCCACAGGTCCCCGGCCTTATTGTCTCTACTGCTCTCTCTGGTTTTAACATATTCAAGACCATCAGCACCTGAGAGGTAAGTGTGCACCTGTTTGTTTGCCTCATATGTCTTGTAACTTTGGCAACAGCAACAAATTTTTATAAATATACTATGCAGTGAAACACTTACATCACCTCATTTAGTTTTGCAATTTGTATTTTATCGTGAATTTCTGAAAAGTTCATGTCAAACTGGCGCTACAACCTTGTCGTTGTCTAATATCACCTCACATAACACCTTAACTATCTTATAATCATAGCCCCTCCCTTCCCTCAAATTCCACTGTATGTATGAATAAGACTGTCACAATGTCACATGATACAACCAAATTAAATTGTGTTGACCCACTAGTGTCTCTCAGTTGGTTCAAACATGTAAGTGGGTAGAAAGGTACTGTACCGTAGTCCCCACACATGTTCAGCATAGCAACTTACTCTCCCCACCCAACCATGGCACATTAGTCTCCTAGCCATTAGTGTTACTGCTCATGCTATTTGCTTGCCTATAGATCATATGCAAGTGAGACCTTTTACAGGCATTGTTTTTATAAATATACAAGCCGTTGTTATTGTATGATCATAGCTGCTTAGAATAGACTACAGTATTCATTTAGATAAAATACCATATGCTATACTTGGTTTGGAATCTCTACTTGAAAAATATAGTTTAGATAATTAGACTAGAAATATGTTTATCCATAATTTGTTGCAAGACATTAATTCTGAAATTAATCTTCAGGTCAACTGCTTGGTGTCTCAGTGTTGGGAGATCAGCTGTGTAGTTAGGACTTTTGTGACCGAGTTTTAAATTACTGAACATTGCCACTGTAAAATATACACTTAACAGATTAAATATAAACAACATTGATTGGAAATTATACTGAAATTGGTATTTATTTTTGAGGTCGTTGATGATCAATCTAATTTCTGGATAATTACGAACACCACCGAGGAGTTACTGTAGTCGTGCTGCTCGTGTTGACGGGTCGGGCACGGCTCAGCTGGGAGTCAGGGGATGAGGGGTTCGTCTGACTGTTCTTGTTTATGCCAGTATTTTAAAAATAACAAATATGAATGTTATCTTTTTTCTGAATGACATTAGCATATACTGTACTGTAGTAGTGAAACTCATCAGTCTTTGGAAACAGTGTTGTTGAAATATTATAAATAAAAATATAAGACTATTACTTCTTTCAATACCTGTTTGTAAGCCAGCCTTGTTGAGATACTGTAGTACAAGTGTTTGTCTCTTGTTTATTGACCAACTGCCTCTGAACTGTTTCTCTGTACATGACTCTGCCACTACCTGAGGATGACCTACATGACTCAACACCATCCTCTCCTCTCACAACCATGTCAGTCCAGGCTAAAGCCATGGAGACTTTACACCTCAGACTAACATGACACATCGCTCACCTCAACTGGTGGGCCATCATCTTGAAATCCAGGTTTCTCTTGATTACCGCTGCACTCCAGTTTCTAGCTGGCCATCAGCAGTCTAATGGGAGGAGGCAGAGAGTCTGAGCCTTCCAGCCATTAACTAAGTCTTAATGTGGAATTTCAAGATTGATCCTTCATTTATGACCTGTCACTCCTCTGCTGGGTACAGTGAGGTAAAGAAATGTTACAAGTGGTAGTGAGACGATGTACCCCAAGTCATGTGAAGGTCGGCTCCAACACAATACTAACCCACAAATTGTCCTGTATCACTGAAGTGTCACGTATCTTCCCAGACATAGGGAGTCACTGTCCCAGATGATCATATGTTCCCCCCCAAATACTGTACATCACTACTAAACTGATCCCAAACAACTGCTGGGTTACTTCCCTCATCCTAGAGTAGACCAGGGCTTTAGTGTTGTCTTTATACTTCACCCACCTAGTTTTGGGCTCAGCTATACATTGAGATTTGAGAATCAATCCTTCATTTTTAGTCTAAAAATCACAATACATTATCTTGAAAGTGAGGAATTTGCATACAGTTACAATTACTGTACTGTACATGTGTTAGAAAAATATTGCATATTTACTGTAGTTGTAGCTGGTGTTTTGTTAACGATTATCGTGGGGTAAGATGGAGTGTTGCTCCATTCACAATACAGTACCTACGTTGTTCAACTCATAGTATAGAATACGTGTTTGTGTCCGAGACAATAATGTTAATTATATAAAAAATAATTGGTCTTCTTACATTACATGGAAAAACTTGCAGTAATTTTCTGATCATTCCAAGAACAGAAATGCAGCATAGTTTTGTTTCTAATATAATAAAATATTAACTCTACTTTGGCCGGTTGGGGGTGGGGGAGGCCTTTCTGAAGTCCTCTTCTTGAATTCTTTTACACAGGAAGTCCGACCTTTATTGACTTTTCCTGAAATTACACAATATAATACAAACATATTTTTATGCCTCAGTAATATATAGAGGAGCATACTGACATACATATGTCAATCTATTCATCAAAATGTATCTGCGAGTTGGCGGGGCTACACAAAATGCTTTTAGTATAGAGTGGTGAGACTTGGGTGACTCGGTTATATTCTTTCTTAAATACTGATTATAGTGTTTAAGGCATTTGATCTATTCTTTGTTTACTATTCTCCCAATGCTTTAGTAGTCATGTAAGGCTGTACACTTAATATTTACACATTTAATCTCAAAATTTAAATCAACTAAACTTATAAAATCAATGAACAGAAAACTTATGCATAGGTAACTATTATACTTATCTATTAATATTTCATAATAAAAATAAATATGTTTCAGTAAATTATATGACTACAGTAATAGTGTATGAGGTGTAGGCTTCCTCACCAGCTCTGATAGATTTCCACAGAGATTACATAAATGCTTGTACAGCGAAACCTCTAGTTAGTGGACTATGTAGAGGAAAGTCCGTTATATCGAGGGTCCGGTAGATTACATGGAGAGAGAAGTTCATTATATGGGGGTTTCACTGTATTACAACAACATCGTCCTCACACATCAACAAGTAAGGAGAATGTTGGTGCTGTAATACAAACATTCGCTCGATCTCAATGAAAATCTTTAGTAGGCGAAGACCCACTTGGTCGTCAACCCTGGCCACAATTGGGTTAAGTAAAAAAAATACAATGAATGAGACAAAAACTGGTATATTAAAAGAATATATAACAAATGCCATCATCATCATCATTCACAAGATCACACGCACAAGATGAACCATCCCAATATGCATAAGTTTTAGAGCTCACATTTTGTACAAGAGAAAAATAAGTTACTGAAGTCAAATAAAACAGCTAAATTTATCATTAAAAAATCAATATATCTAAAGTTCTTGATATTTCTCACATGTAACCCTAATGTACAGGTCACAACTCAGATGAAATTCTATGAAGTCTCATTCCTGTAAAACAGTGTTCAAAAAATCAAATCTAATTTAGTTTGTACAGTCTGAATTACCAGTTGAGGCCGTGACAATAAATGATGCCTACTGTAGTGTTGAGACTAGTTGACATGGCTGGCAGTTTATTATTGGGTTCAGAGGTGAAGAATAAAATCATGAGAAATTTTAACTTGTATGCATAATATTTTTAGTTATATTAGTAGTAGAATCACTGAGTAAATTCTCAATATAAATATGAGTACATTATTTAACGACATAAACCTTTCAATAAATGCTTAAATACATAAAATAATTTATTACAAACTTGTCCCATAATCATCATATAACTATACCATCATTTTGGAATGCAAATAGAAATACAGGAAGAATTGTGCTACATGAACCAATTTCTTACTAAATAGTGATTCCTCACATTGGAGAATTATTCCATATACCTGTAACACCTTAAGGTACGGGCATAAACAAAATACCTTGGTGTACAGTCTTCTTATCACTTGGTAGCTAATCCCATTTACTTCTCAATAAACCGCTGACAACAAATAATATTTGCATTTCAAAATAATAGCCACAATTTAGGATTAATGTGAAACTACAACATACCTCTAGTCCAGCTAGGTCATGTTAGTTAACTGCTAGGTAAGTAACTAAGAGGATTGAAACAGGATGGCACTAATTCTCAAACTCCTCCCCACTAAACTTTGGCACTTGGTTTACTTCACTTCCTCTTTATTATGAAAATGAGATCTGAAGAACTTATCATTTTCTCTTCCTGAGAATTATTATGTGCTTTTATTTTGGAAGTGGTCTCTCCCTTGAGTGTTAACTTGAGGGTATCAGTGCCATCACGTTCTGAACCTCACACCCTGCAGGGTCAACTTCCCATCCTCAGAGTCAGCTGACAATGTGTCTGTGTGAAACAAGAGATAATGTCAATGTGTAAGATCACTTTTTTCACTTCAACGAACACGGAGCAAAAATGTAAACAGTCAAATATGAACAACTAGTTCCTGTTATCATGTCACCATTTATTTGTTTTTAACATTTGATATGACAGTAGTGAAGTGTCTTACAGAACACCGATGCTGTGGCCCCAAAGAGCTCAGTGTATGTGGTACTGTACCTCAGTTGTGGGCAAAATGGCTTTAGATTTCATATGAATCTAAGCTACTGTCAAATTCTTCATTTCTTAAGTTTAAAATAGTTTAATTACTTACATAAAGTGCATCCGTTCAATGCATTATTTTTAAGTGATATAAGTACTGTACTGTACCATGATAGAACCAACTAAAAAGACTTTTCCTTTCATAATTCCTGTGCTGTACAGTATGTACCAAAACAATGTACCAGTAAACATCAGTACTGTTCTGTCATTAACTAGAACAAACCTGAGAAAAAAAATACATCAAGAAAAACTATTTACCTCCATTGTAAGTTCTGGTCACATTAATAGTGTCATTAAACTCGTTTCATATACAATATTTAACCACGGAATTTTGAAGAGGTAAAAACACAAACACTGTGATGTTACCAGTAACTAGATCAAAATGTTTGTCCAGTGATGAGAGTTGTTCATATAATTATTGCCAGTATTAAGAGTAAAGATTCCTTCTTCAATGTCAGAATTTATCTCCAATTTTAACAAATTAACGTTGGTAATAATATGTGTAAAATTCTGAGTTTGAGGTGTTAGGGCGAACAAAGACTTTTAACGTGAGTCACTAAGAACGAGTCATTTTACAGTGACTAGAGGAAGGACAGTCTGTTCTTGCTCTACTAAGAGATATTAACTATAACTGGCACAGTGGCTGATGTGTTTTATGAGATGTGGCACCTCTGTGTTTGTTTACATGGTATTAAAACTCTCAGAATGGCTCTGAGGAACCTCACAATAGTAGCCAGACTAAGGATGCTAGATGAACATTCCACACAGTTGCCACATCTTACAAACAGTGCCAGCCACTGTACCAGGTATATGCACAGGTGACTGTACCTGCCAGACAAGGTAAGCAAGCAACAACCCTTAAACTGTTATAAATTATTAATGCTTACTGCTGCAGCATTTTCTTGATGAGGTAATAATTAAGGTCATCTGACTTCCTGCACTTTGTTAACAGTTGAGAAAACTGACAATTACTTTCATTACCATGAAAATGACTATAAGTTTATATAGAAAAATACTTCCAAGTCGGAGACATTAGAATTCTAAAATATTTTTACTGCTTTGTGGACATTGCAGTGTTAGTGACAAACTTGCTACAGTACAGTAGTGGGTGGGTGAAGGTCAGACAGGGAGTAAGACAACACTATGTTATCTCCAACATTAAATAATATTTATTAATTAAAGAGCAAAATTGTTAGTAGTGAAGAAGGAATAAAAATAATGATACAGTACTGTAATATGAAGACTACAGTACAGTGCAGTATGTAGATGATCCTGCTCTTACTACAGCAGGTCAAGAGGCAGTACAAAACCTGGTCAACAGATTAGTGAAAAAGGTGAAGAATAACGCTGTACAGATGAAAGTACTATAATAAGTGCTTTCAAATTAAAAGTAAACCTTAAAATACAAACACTGAATTTTGGTAAGCAAAAGGGAAATTCAGCACATGAACTATTTTGTGAATTTGTGGCAACAGACAAAGAAAAACTACAACAATACAGTATACAGTATTAGGTTAGGTCAGGTCAGGTAAAAAAAAATAACATTAAATAATCTTAAGGATCTTCTGTAAAGGGACATTAATTTTAGTGTGAGAAAAAGGCTGCTTAACTGTTACACATAATCAGTATTATTGTG